TTTCAAGTTTGTACAAAAGGATTATGTGGTCAACGAGGTTAAATGTTTTCAAAAAATTAAAGAATATAGTAGTTAATGAGATAATAGCGTTTCCCCAGTCATCAATTACTTGTATGATGGCATCTATTATATTTCTACCAGGACGAAAACCAAATTGGCTATAGAGATTTATTATAGCCAATATTGTTATATTATATCATACGTTCAAGATAAGTTATTGATAATAATTTATCTTGAACATACAATATTATTTGTTTTGCAAAGATGCGTTCAACTTTTTTGCATGTTGCAGATGTTATTAAGATCGATCAAGAGGTAGAGAAGGATTATTACCTTTTGGAAAAGGTATGATGTTTGCATAAAACCACTCAGATGGTACAATGCATTTGTTGATACAATGGTTAAAAACTATAACAATGACTTCAACTAGTTCAAGACGTGCCCTATAGAGTTGTTTCCCAGATATGCTGTCATGATCGACTAGTGTCAATTGATAAATCTGGCTTACTAGTTCCTTGCTAAACTATATCTGAAAATTGCACCTATAGTTTTACACTAAATTCAGTATCTGTGGGTAAACTGTGGATTGGGATTGATAGTGTGCGAGCTTGTGATCGCATATTATTCTTACTATTGAAATATTTGTATTTATTTCTGTAGTAAAACGTTTCCTCATTGCATTGAGTTGAGCAATAATATCAACCAAGATGTTACGTTGGTCATAAAGGCTAGCTTTGTGTAAACGTTAGCATTGTTTTATGCAGAAAAGAATATCTGCAGTCGTTCGTTTTTGGTCACCGCATACTTTAATTGTAGTTAAAGGCTGATGTATATTTTATGCATCAGTTATAGCGTTCTAAAAGGTTGAGAACAACCCAAGAGGTCAGAGTCAAGATTTGTTAGGGTCAAGTAGCCGTATGGCAGCAAATGTATCTCTAATCTTTCCCGATCGTACTTGGATGCGTTTAGGTTTTGGTAAAGTGTTTTTATTTATAAAAAAATTAATGAAAACATTGTGATCACTGGCATTTCTGGAATTCATACTTATAAGCAGATTCTCTAGGGCGAGTGAGAGATGCAATATGGAGCTTTACTGACAACTTGGTTGCCATTCTGGTGTATAAACAACAGCCAATAAAAGACATGTGTATCTACGTAATAATCTACATAGTCAAGTTCAAGCAACAAACATTTCAAAGTATCTACGTTTCTTTAGTGATTCAGTAGTTTGCGAGGGTTGGCTGATAGCTCCTTCAAATTTAAACATACTTGAAATAGTTCTGTGTAAAAGATATTGTATGTATGTATAATTATATATACATATATATATATATATATATATATATATATATATATATATATATATATATATATATATATATTTATATAAATATAAATAAATATATATATATATATATATATATAAATATAAATATATATATATATATATATATATATATATATATATATATATATATATATATATATATATATATATACATATATATATATATATATATATATATATATATATATATATATATATATATATATATATATATATATATACATATAAATATATATATATATATATATATATATATATATACATATATATATATATATATATATATATATATATATATATATATATATATATATATATATATATATATATATATATATATAATAAAAAAATTTAAACATACTTGAAATAGTTCTGTGTAAAAGATATTGTATGTATGTATAATTATATATATATATATATATATATATATATATATATATATATATATATATATATATATATATATATATATGTATATATATATATATATATATATTTATATAAATATAAATAAATATATATATATATATATATATATATATATAAATATAAATATATATATATATATTTATATATATATATATATATATATATATATATATATATATATATACATATATATATATATATATATATATATATATATATATATATATATATATATATATATATATATATATATATATATATTTATATTTATATTTATATATATATATATAAATATTTATTTATATTTATATAAATATATATATATATATATATATATATATATATATATATATATATATATATATATATATATGTATATATAATTATACATACATACAATATCTTTTACACAGAACTATTTCAAGTATGTTTAAATTTTTTTATTATATATATATATATATATATATATATATATATATATATATATATATATATATATACATATATATATATATATATATATATATATTTATATATATATATATATATATAACATTTCATCGGAACATCTTGATTTGGCCAAAGACTATCAATGCAATGAAAAACTTGACTACATATTCTAAAACATGGCGGACCATAACTCATGGGTTGAACTACAATAGGTTTAAATAAAGCAATAGAATGACAGGCATTATAATTTGAATATATTTAAAAAAATTCAAATTGGCACTTCCATCTGCATGGTTCTCTTTAAATGAATCTTTTGAAAATGGTAAAGGTTGCAAAAAAACTATCTTTCCATTATAGCAACATAAAAAATGTGTTTCATTAGGACCGCAATGCTGACAAATATGATTCGTTTATCCTAAATAAGTATAATCTGGAAGAGTATTACTTCTTGCTATACAATCCATTCTTTCCTATCTAGTAACATATTTATTATTTAGTTAACTAATAATTTCATCTCGCCTAATCTCCTTAATTTTGCGACAATTATTTTCAACTTGCCTAACCACGTTCTTCTCATTTTAAATTAATCTAAATAAATAAGTTTGAAAATAATTCTAAAAATAAACATATTGCTAATACAAAAAAAATTAAAACAACAATATTGTAAACTCTTTTATGCAAACTTCAATATTTTTTCCTTAAAAAAAATTATTAGCTAACGTTTTTTTAAGAATCACAAAACTTTACAATACTTTGTTCTTCTATATCAAATAAATACATCATTTGATAAATTAAAAATAAAAAATGTAACTAATAAGTAAATAAATAAGAAAAATATTACATACATAAAATGGAAATTCAATGTACCTGATAGAGAAAAGCTTTTTTGATTTACCAGAGTAGTAGTAGTAGGCTTTAAGTGAATATATATATATATATATATATATATATATATATATATATATATATATATATATATATATATATATATATATATATATATTACAGAGTAGTAGGCTTTTAGTGAATGGTTAAAAGCAGTGAGATCGAATAATGAAATTACCTATTTATCATTTTTAACAATAGACACCAACGTAAAGGTAAGCCAAACGTCTATCATCTCATAAGATAACCAAAAAAACAACATCACACCAACATCACAACAATATTAGCACACACCATAAGTTAATATAATACGCATATAACATAAATTAAGTAACATAACATTCATATATAACAGAACATAAGTAACAACGTAACAAAAAATTTTATTAAAATACATTATTATTTAGTTTCAGAATAATTAATAATAAAGGCTTAAAAACACCTAGACCTAAAGCAGAAACAGTTTAATTCTAAATACAGTCGTGTCCCCCTCTGCTATAAGAACGTCACTTGGCTGGCAAGATTGACAAATTATGCTTTACACGTTTACCATGTCATAGCACTTTGAAATCATAGAAACAATATACCATAAACATTTGTACCAATTATAAGCACAATATATATATTTAACCTTATATACTTTTTAACCTTATATACACTTTTAAACACATTTATAAAACAATTATATAACACATTTTAACTCATGCAGAAACAATAAAAAAACACTTAACATTATTATAAAAACACATTAATAAAACAGCTATAAAGCACATATTACCATATACACATACCTTTCAAAAAAGTATATATGCAAACAATTAATTTATATAACTTGAATTGTGCAAACAAAAATTTTGATAACGATATGAGAAAAGTTAAAAAGATTTAACTTTGGAAAAATATAAATATATGTAAATACCCTTTACCTTTATTTTTTTTTCAAAAGAACGGTAATCCTCATAACAAAAATTTATTATTTAAATACAATAACATGTGACATGTCATTTCGGTGTTTTAAATTTTTAATTTATTTTTCTAAATTTTCTAAAAAATATCAAAAAAAGTTAATTGCATTACAGAAATTTCAAAGTAGTAATAATCAATTTTATTTAAATATCACTAGTATAATATTTTTGTTGCATTAAAAATGCATAAAAAATAATTAGCATTCACCCATACTACTATTTTCCTTCTAAAACATAAAATATAAACTCAATAAAAACAATACTGCTAAAAAAAATAAAGCTAAAAGAAAAACTAAAACAAACAAAATGTAACTAATTAAAAAATTAAAAGGAGTGTTACTTTCTGCTTTATATCTAACTAAAATGTTATATATAAATTGCTAAACTATTTTCTATACTTACTTCAATTATAATACGATCTAAACAATGGTTATTTATCTTAATATGATTCTTTATGTAATATATTCTAAACTAATAAATAATAGTTAAATTCCAAAATGTTGATAGTTTTAACTCGTTTGAAAAATCTTTCTCTGATGACCACGGTCATTTAAAAACGCGCTCTTTCAAATTTAGAAAAGCTTAGAAAATAAATAAAACTAATTTCAAAACAGAAGCGAAACAATGTTGAACGTTAAAAGTTGACTCTTACAGTATTAAATTTACAATATTAAGTATAGAGTATTATTATTAAGATGATCTTTTTTTGTTTTTGTTTATAACTAGAGATTTGTAAGAAGAACTTTTGTGTTTTTTTAAAGAGCGAATTTTAACTTATCTTTAACTTTTTTTTTTTTTTAAATTTTTTTTGAAATATGTTTTAATTTTAATTATTAGTTTCTAAATATGTGACATAATGTCTTAATGTACTGCAGTCATTACAAAAAGTATTTTACTTTGTTTTTATATTATATCTTTTCAAGTGGATGCTAGGTAACTGGCAATCAAATCCATTTTATAAAAACAACGGAGTTGATGGATCAGTGTGTTCAATAGTAACTTACTTGAGTAAGGTAATCATCAATTTTTTATTTACTAAAGTTATCATAATTGCATATTAAAATAGTACTCATTATGTTTTTTTTTTTAGGTGGAAAAGTTTTGCCCCTGTACAGTACCAATTAATTCTCAATTTCCATTTTGTCAAAACAAAGTTTCAGTAAGCATCTCATAAAAGATTATTTTAAATTGTGCCTTAAATTTACAAGAAGGTATAACAACTTAGCTAAAGGGAGAACAAAGCCGTCTTAAAATTATATCTATTCCAGGAGCTAGTCAAAATACTTTTAAAATACAATTTTTTGCTTATTACTTTTGAAATACAATTTTACTGCCTTTGCTTGGAAAAAAAAAAACTGCTGATGCAACGTTAAAGCTTTAAAAACTGTAATCGAAATAAATTACTCACTTAAAAGTTAACAGCTGTTTATAATTTTAAAAAGTAATCACAACAAAAATCAAAATCTAGATGATGTTTTTTGATTATCTTAATAGTCGGCATAGTGTCAAAGTTTTACATCTCAAATATATTTTTGGACCTTATAATATGCATCCAAGTTTGGCTATAGAATTTTTACGTTCTCAAAAAACATTTTTCAAAGATGTAATGTGATTGGTTAATTTGAAATTATGATAATTACAGTACTTTATTGAAATCATAGACTACAAAGATGTTTCTTGAAAATTGACGTATTCTTGCTTTGTTTTCCCAATGTTATACTTCCTTGATTGAAAGTATTTTTCTTTTTTTTTTCGGTTGTTTTTTTTTCTAGCGTAAATTTTTTTTGGAAAGCGGCGTAAAAGTACTTTTATGTTGAGTAATTTCATTGAAAATTTGTTTATATATATATATATATATATATATATATATATATATATATATATATATATATATATATATATATATATATATAAATATATATATATATATATATATATATATATATATAAAAATATATATATATATATATATATATATATATATATATATATATATATATATATATGTTTATATATATATAAATATATATATATATATATATATATATATATATATATATATATATATATATATATATATATATATATATATATATATATATATATAAATATATATTTATATATATATATATACATTATATATATATTTATATTTATAAATATTACATATTTAAACTATATATATATAATATATATATATATGTATATATATATATATATATATATATATATATATATACATATACATATATATATATATATACATATATATATATATATATATATATATATATATATATATATATATATATATATATATATATATATATATATATATATATATATATATATATATATATACACTACTATGCTTGATTTACGGGTACTTTTTTTTTTCCCCATTAATCGCAATTAATTATATATATAATTTATAAATATATATTATATAAAGATATATATATATATATATATATATATATATATATATATATATATATATATATATATATATATATATATATATATATATATATATATATATATGTTATATATGTATTTTCATATATGTTCTTTTTTTTATATTTTTATTTTATGTCAGTTTTTATTTATCCATTTTTAAATTTGTTATTTTCGTAAAAAAATTTCTTTTTTATAAATATTTTTATTATTTTAATTTCATTATTATCTATTATATTTTATATTTTTATATATATATTTACAAAAACGATTATTTACAATGAAATAACTAACCCTAACACTAACCCTAACCCTATGCCTGACCTTGCTGCCTGGCTAAACCAAACCCTCAGTCGATGTAGCAGCACTCACTTGCGAGTCAGGCTATTTGTCATTCGATGTATGTACTTTTCGCTTTGCCTAAAAACTATTTACGGGGACATTTTTTTACAAAAAAAACCGCCACTTACGAGGACAAAAAATTATCGAGTACACTAAAATATCCCCGATACTGCTAATGTCCTCGTAAGTATCCATTTTAATGTAAAATCTGTTCTCGAATATGCTATTCTATGGATATATTATATAAATTAAATATATATATATATATATATATATATATATTTATATATTATAAATATATAAATATATATATTAAATATATATATATTGTATATATATATATATATATATTTATATATATTTAAATATATATATATATATATATATATATATATATATATATATACATATGTGTATATATATATATATATATATATATATATATATATATATATGTATATATATATATATATATATATATATATATATATATATATATATATATATATATATATATATATATATAAATATATATATATATGTATATATATATACATATATATATATATTTCTTTATATGCTTTTAAAAAACTTGAGAATAAATTACTTTAATTATAGAGCAATAACCTGTGCCGAACTAAATTGAATCATGATCACATAACTAACGCAGAAGTAGAGCTTAATCGTGTTCTTTGTTATTTTTTCTGCAGTGTCCCTTAAAAGGGCAATTATGCTTTATAAGAATTTAAAAATAACGCAAAATTAATTGTTAATAAATAGTTATTTTGATAATTGAGTGCTTTAAGCTGACCCGCACTTACAGAATACCTTGACTCAGCAATCTATTCTCGCAATTTACAAATATTGTTTTCCATTTAAAAGGTTGCAGCGGAGTTATAAAGCAATAAAAAATGAATTTTCTTAGTTAGTGACGTGAACACTAGGAACAAAGTTACTGTCGGACCGTCAATTTATGCAGTTCTTTTTTCCTATTTGCAAAATTAAATTGACTATGAATGAAAACGCAAATCTCGTTATTCAAGATTAAATGGTATTTTGGGAAAAAGCTAGATTCTCTACCAGAGTTATACCTAATTGTTTAAAAAAACTTTTGGCCATTAACATTTTTAAAAAAGCTGCAAAGTATTTGCAAAAAAGAAAGGTTTGTACGAGCGCCTTAGAAAGTACTTTAAAAAAAATAAAAACGTTTGTTTAAAAAAGTTTATTTATAGCGCACGCTAATGCTTTATTGTATAATGCAGGATTGAAAGGAGTTTGTGTACTTTAGTGACAAAGACTAAAGTGGGAATCACTTCTTTTTGCTAGCTGTTCTTGTTTACAAACTGGTTTTAAAAAATGTGTTTGAAACGGAAACCAACCAAACGGAAAATCACAAATAACTTTTATATCCCAAGATTCAAAAAGTTAAGAGACAACTGGAAAACTAATAATCCTGCTGCTATTGAAACATACACCAAAAATGTGAAACAACATTTTTGTTACACAATAATAGAAGAATTGTTGACGTTTTATAATCATGAACTACAACAAAGACATTACAATGATTGGTAACTGATTGAAAGATCTGCTATTTTCTTAGAAGGTAGTAGTAAGGAAAAATTCAAAATCAGACCTTCTAGCGCGGTGCATTAAGCAAAGTGAATAGCTTGAGCTAAAACACTCTAAAAGATTTTTTTTTTAAAAAGTAAATTCAAAATTAACACTAAGGATAAGCAAGTACTTCAATATATTTATTGCGGTTATGTATGTGAAAGTATGGCTTGAGTAAAATTTGGTAGTAAAGGCATCAAATCTAGATTTTTTTTTTAAAGAGGCCTATGAAATATCAAACTGTTAATAAAATGATTTCCAAAGCATCCCTCAACAAGTTTTTTCAATATTCTTTGTACTTATTATAAGAAATTAAAGTTTAATTGCTACTTGATGATGAAGTTCATGAACAAACAAAATGAAACTATGTAGTAAAATTACGAGGAGAGAGTTTGCTTGATTCTGGTAAGAGATACATTTCATCAATAAAAGATTGGTCTAACACTGTATTTTTATTTAAAGTCACAGGAATGTTAAAAAGTAATTTTGTGTCTGTCAAGAGCACAACTTTATTTTCTCGAATAATGATTGATTAGGATTTTTTCCAAAGACTCATTTTTACATGGATCAAAGTTGTTATCTATATTGAGGCGAAAACAAAATTTGTCTTAGCAGTAAAACTTATATGGAAATGTTTTTAAAGTTATATTACTGCAATGGAAGAACAAAAGCTATATTTTTTACTGTATTCAGACTGTAAAACAGAGTACCATAAAAAAGAAAACCCTCTGCCTGATTTTTAAATTTTATATTATTTTAATAAATATTTTATTAAATATTATTGTTTCAATTGGTTTAGCTAGATAATGGAAACGTTTAAAAACATCGATTATCAAAATCTTTAGAGTTCTGTCGGCATGAATTAATGTTGTTGTAGGAAAATTAGATTTTTTATTTTAGGTAGCTTCTAATGGGCGCGAAAACTAAAAAAGACATCCTTTGATTGTACAAAAGACATTCAAAATGTTTATAGGACGTTTAAGAGACGTCTTTTTTACGTTCTGCACCTCCAGGCTAACAAAAAAATAGGGAGTATGCATTTTGATTAAATACATACATGCGCCGCAACAACAATATTTAAAAAACTTATATTATAGCTATGATAAACAGTCAATAATTTTCAAAAAATTCCTTAAATAATGCAAGTAAGATTCATATGTTGCGCTATTTTCATGATGAAAAGTTTAGTCTGTAGCAACAGTGGCATATGTCATCAAGATGATTTTGCGACAATTTGGAATTCTTTTTCTGTTGTCCCCAAATACTTGTATTAGTTTCTGAATTTCAGATTCAGTTTTTGTGATGAATTGACTAAATGTGCTCATAAGAGCAACAGAACGCTCGACAGTGTCATTAATAACTTTCACAGATTTAACAATTGCTTTAGTATAACAAAATTCAGCAATTTCCTCCCAGGTCTTTCGATCGGTTCCAGATAAAATGGTTACACCAAGACCAAGTGACTGCAAAGCAGCAGTTGATGATGATGTAACAAGGTCATGAAGTTGCTTCTTTTCCAACTTGCTTAACTCTGCTGCTGGACACTTTATACTCCTGATCAGCTCCACTTTGAATCATAGCTTCAACAATCAACTTTTTTTCTGTGTCACAAACCCTGTGATAAAATAATGAAAGTGGAATCATTTCTGATCCAAGGTACTAAGTGTAATTTTGAAGCTTCCTCATAGCAGCAATTGAAATGACCTTGTTGATCTCAGAATATTGTTTAATTCTTGTGAAGAGCATCAGGTCATTTGCTGGAGCATCACTTGCAATTGGGCAGGCAATCCATGCAGGTACATAGATATAAGCAGCAACGATACGAAGTTTGCACAAGTTGTTCTGATTTTTTATGATAAATGATGCACCCACCATTTTTAGAACCCGTGTTTGACGATGTTGTGTCAAAACACATACCAACAATATAATTTGCAATATTCCATATGATCAGTAACTGGAAGGTTGCTTTTTCTTGTGCCAGTCCAGTGCCAGATGATATCTTTACAATACCCAGTATTTTCTCCCGATTACGACCAGTCACATCAATAGCAATTTTATCAACATTGGACTTTGGATTTTTATAGTTGGTGCTGTCTCTCACCATCGTACCATCCCAGTGGGCGACCATATGTTGTTTCTAACTTCACATAAATTTCTGCCGAATATGATTTTCAGTTGATGAACGGTGCATAATGCGTTTGCAGCGGACTGTTGATCTTGATAATGGTATACTTTGGAGGTTCTCTCCACATGCTCTAGCAATTGCAGCTGCCAGAATAGTAAATTTTTGGTCAGACAAAATGATTCGATTAAATGTGAATGATACATCTGGAGAAGACAACATTTCATTGAGAATATGTGGCTTTTTATTTTTAGGACTTTATTCACAGTCAGTTAATTAGGGTTACTAGTTTTTTGTGATAAACCAGAATTTCTATTTAATAATCATCATTGTCATGAGGAATGTTACTGACTTCTGTTGCTTTGCTATCACTATCACAATCAAGACTGAAGAGGCTGCAGCTAGGGGTAAGAACAGCATTTGGTTGTTGTCTTCTCTCTTCCTCATTCTGCTTTCTTTTTATTTCTTCTTGTTGACGCTCTGCTGTTCGCTTTTCTTGTTAAATAATTTTACATCTTCTCCAGCCATCTTCATCATACGAGCATTCTTTTGGTCTTCCAGAAATATTTTATCTTCGTCAATTTTAATTAGCTTGTTTGTATCCTTGTGTGAAATGTCAAACAGTTATTCTAATTTGATAATGAAATCTTTCTCTTTAGCAATCTGTAATATACTAGCTCTGCCTTTATTCTTTTTAATTAAATTATATTCATCAACACATGCTTTCACTTTTGATACAATACGAGGCTGGTAAGTCGTTGGAACTCTGGCCTTTTTCCAGATGTGAGCTAAATAATTGAACATTGCTTTTGCACTGGCTGGTGCTGTTTGTTTCAATGCTTTGTGGTAGTGGAAAAGCGTCCTTAACATATCAACTATCGTTGGAAGGAGATTGTTAGGTAGATTCTTCTCAGGTTGACCATTTAAATTCAGGTTTGACCATTTAATAAATTCAGGTTGACCATTTAATAAATAAATTCAGGTTCACCATTATAAATTCAGGTTGACCATTATAAATAATGAATAAATTCAGGTTGACCATTTAACTCAGGTTGACCAATCAACCATATTGCAGTTCGATTACGTGTCAAAGGAAAATTTGAAGAACTTATCTTTTCACTCATATTCAGCAACAAGCTAAAATTAAATGATACCAAATTAAACTCAACTTGAGAAATTAAATATTAATTTGCAAACATAATTTAAAATATGTGAAAAATATTTCAATATGAATGTGATGAACTCATAAGTATTACAAAACTACAAACACTAACGTAAGTTAAGTCACCCAATAATATTTAGCACTAAAAAAAAAGATTTTGGAATAACAGATACAAAATTATTATTTTATAGGATTAAAATGAAAGAGAACCTCAAAATATTTAAATATTTCAGTTTTTCAGCAAAAAATTACAATTAATGAAAACGTTTTTCAATCAAAAACATCAGATGTCAAGATGGCTGCTTGTCACATGACCAAAGACGTTAGCTCATAAAAGACAATGGTACATCAAATTTGCTTAATATTTTTTCTAAATTGAACATGGGATAAAAATAGAAAATTATTTAAGACGTAATACTATTATTGTAAACTTAAAAGGCCATTGAAAAACTCTAAACATTGTTTTATTTTAAATATCTTTTTGCACAGTAAATTTTAATGCCAATTGGCACAAAATAAACTAATGTGTATTCAGATCAGAGAAAGTTTTTTTTTCCAGTGTTTATGTGAACACCCCTAAGCCCCTAATATATATATATATATATATATATATATATATATATATATATATATATATATATATATATATATATATATATATATATATATATATGTATGTATGTATATATATATATATGTATATATATATAATTTATACAAGTACTTACAATTTTTTCTGTTTTTACAGTGGATGCAAGGGAACTGGAAATCTAATCCATTTTATAAAGACAATGGAGTGGATGGATCATTATGTTCAATTCTTATCTATCTTAGCAAGGTATTTTTTTGATGGATACTCTGTTTAGAATTAGTTTTTAAATTGAGAAATCAATTATTTTAGATCAAAAAAATTATTTTTTTCTTTAAAATTCAGCAGTTTTAATAAAAAAAAATGAAAAGGTACACATATATAGAAGCGAAATAAACAATTAAATCAAAAATTCTATTACCGGTATGGGAAACTAAAAAGCTTATAAATAAGAATAATTATAAGCAATATTATTAATACAATTAGTTTTTGCATTTTAAAATTTTATCTCTCAAAGATTTGCATAGAGTTTCAAGGTAAAACTCTTTTTTTATAAATTTTACTATTGCATAAATTGATTGTAACACTATTTATATTTAAATATGTGATATCAAAATAATATTAAATAATTCTCTTTAACCTGGGACTATCAAAAAAAGTTTTTTTTTTAAGTTACTAAAGAAATAAACAATAGAAAAATTCTTTTTTTTATTAGATTTAATACGATCTCTATTTCTGATATAAGCGGAAATACTAATCTAACTGTAATCATTCTCTATTCAGAAGTTCTTTCTAACTACCAAAGTAATTGTAATGGTATTATTTCAGCGCAAGACTAGTTTGATACAATTTTTTCAAATTAGTTTTGCGCTATCTGATCAATTTTGTTTTGTATCTTTTTGGAAAGTTAAAACTCGTTTATTGTAATTATGATTATAAAATTCAATGGAAAATGAAATGTTCAGAAAATTCTCGCTATTTTGAAGCTAAATGACTTTATTTTTTCACGATTCTTTTGTTATCTCATTTTGATATTGACCAATATATTTTTGGGAATTGAAAGTGCCACATCAGCATATCTTTGCGCTTGGTGTAACATTATTAAAGAAGAAATTCTGAGAAGTACTTGTTTATCCGGTAATGCTTACAAAGCTGCCTGGAATTTTTTTTTTTTTAATCCTAGCTTTAGATGCATCTTATAAAAATTGCGTTAAGATTCCATTAGTTGATCAGCCCAATAAAGTATATGTTTAAATTCTAGCTAAAATAAAACTTTATCTAAATTGTGTAAATACTAATGAAATCAGTATGCTATATACAACTGATTTTGAAAATGGCATCTGCTAAGTTTGCTTCTCTTTATTGTCCTTCTGATTTCATATTCTACCATTTATACTTTACTATTCTCTTATTTTTCATTGTATGGAGTATTATTGCCAATTTTGGGCTGGTTTTTTTTATTGATGCTCTTTCTCTTCTAGACAAGGTCCAAAAACGCATTGTAGAATCTTCTTTATCTGCCAAGCTTGAGCCATTCTCCCAACGTTGTAAAGTTGTGATTCTTACTCTTATGTATAAGAACTACTATGGTTGCTGCTCAGAGAAGCTATCAAATCTAGTTTTATAAGCCAAAACTAAATCTCGCTTGACTTGTCTTTCAGCAAAGTCTCATCTTTTACTGTGTTCATCCCTGCATGCTTTAAAAACTTTTATTAGTCTAGTTTTTTTTTAGAAACTTTCCAAACTTTCATGTCTCATTTAACCTTCAACTTTATAAGTATTATGTAAAATGTTTTCTCTGCTCTTTAACTATACTTTTTGTTTTCAAGCCATCAATTAAATGTTTACACGTAACCTTTTATAAAAACAATAGTACCAACAAAACAAAAAAATACATCGATATCAAAATATATCTTTTTCTTAGTTTATTTATGAGCCTATAAAATAGTTATATTTTAACTTTATTATTAGGCATGATGTATTATTGTAAAAGTTTTTCAATTTTATCAAGACCTTTTTTGGTTGCTTCAAAATTTGTGAAACGTTAAAAGTTGCAACACTACTCTGACCATTGGTCATCTGACACATATAAAACTTTGCAATGAATGTCTTCAAGATAAAATGAAGATTGCAATGAATGTCTTCAAGATAAAATGAAGATTGCAATGAATGTCTTCAAGATAAAATGAAGATTGCAATGAATGTCTTCAAGATAAAATGAAGATTGCAATGAATGTCTTCAAGATAAAATGAAGATTGCAATGAATGTCTTCAAGATAAAATGAAGATTGCAATGAATGTCTTCAAGATAAAATGAAGATTGCAATGAATGTCTTCAATGAATGTCACTTTGCAATGAATGTCTTCAAGATACTTCACAATATCATTTGCTTTTTAAATTTGTTTGAATCCTAAGTCTGCTGAGGAAACTAGTAGATTGCAATCTACTTTAAGATCTCTTTTTGAAACAAACTCACGAAACAGCTACTTTTTTCAGAACTTGGAATGGTCGCAAATAAATTATATCAGGTTTGGTTGGAAAATTAAGTTAACGAAACAAAACACTTGGTTTATTCTACAATTCTTTAATTATGGACTTTGATGTTTCTAATGGTGGTGAACAAAGTGGATAAGATCAGTGCACATTTACTTTTTGAAATGACATTTTTGGTTTGATTGAACACATCCTTGACGATTGAGACCTTCCGCCAAATGATTTTGTATGATCAAAATAGATATTGATGGAGGTGGTGGGTTTCTCAAGGTTTTTATGAATATATTGGATAACCAAAAAGAAAAAACAAAAGCATTTTCTTATTCAAAAAGTTAGTAGAAAGGAAAAAGTTGTTTACAGACGCTAAAGAACTAAGACAAGAAGGTAAGTATGCTAAAGTTATTTATAACAAACTAATAACGCGTGATTTCTAAAAGAATTTCTTGTATTTAATTAGGTCTAATAATAAAAAAAATAATAAAAATGGATTCGAATAACAACAACAATTTTGATTTAAAATCATTAAGTTTTTTTCAAACTGATGACTTTTTGCTAAACCATGAATTGGATCCTAATTTAAATTACTTTATGGAAGCAAATGCTGTTCGAAGCAGATGTCCTTAATATTAATCCAATAAAATAAAAGAACTCCTTAATTCTGATAATTTTAACAATTTACATATTACCATAAGAAGCTCATAAAAAAGTTTCAAAATTTTTTGAATAAACATGAAAGAATCTCTTAGCCCTTTAATGCATGGGATGATAAAATTTCGAAATTTTTTGATAGATTACTCAAATTACTTGTTAAAATCAAAATTAATTGTTGTTTTTTAATTTTGACATTGCCTTCCTGGAGATATTCAGGGTCCATTGAAATGGACATTTTGCGTTTAAGGAAAAGAATTACAAAAAATTGACAAGCAATTTGTTGTTTGTTTACATTTAATTTGCTCCATGAAATGCTCGGAAACATACATTTTTAGCTACGCATAAATATACTTTGCATTTGGTACACTGATAATTAATTTTCTTTTTGCACATTTCGTATTTGCAACGTTGTAAATTTGGATTCTCCATTATAGCTGGCCAACGCTCAAATTTATGAAAATAATCAATTTATCATGTCAATTGGAATATAATTTGCTGTCATAGAACGTGTTTCTGACAATTCATTATGAGCCTTTTCTGGTAATTGGTCAACTCCATTACTCAAAGAGGTGTACACATCAGCTAAAAAATTATCAAGTGGTTTGTTTCCACTAATCTGGCGTAAAATCACCCAAGCATTGTTCGCTGTCAAACTGAACAGATGAAATGCAACTCGGTGATGCCATTTTCTTCATCTGATTTTCTTGATCATACCTCTTGCATGTGTCAATAGGATCTTTGCCGATATAGTTTAATTAAGTGAGCACTTGTTTGTTGTCATACCAAACTGTTATTACAATTTTTGAGGAAGAATCAAAAAACTGTTCAATGTAAACACGATCAGATTTTTTTTATTCTAGATTTATTTGGAATTAGGCATGCTCATGGTTGATTTGCATTCAATATAAACAAAGACCAAATTTTCTTAGTTTCTTTTAGGTATACGGCTAGCTCTGGTGATGGAAAATAATTGTCAAAAAAAGTTGGTGTGCATTTGGCAAAAGATCATTTGAAAGACGCATTATAATAAACGCACTCTTGTCGCATCCATTTGAAGGATTACAACCTTGAGAAGGACCTGTTGCACCAAGACCACCTTCAACTTCAAAATCATAATTATAGTCAGAAACTCCTGCTCTTGCCTACAACTTGTAACCCAAATATTTTGGTTTCTTAGGAAGATAGCGTTTCAAAAAATGAGCTTCTTTGAAAGGAATGATTTGTTCATCTATTGACATATGAGTTTTTGGTTTTACAATTTGAAGAAACTATAGTCGGAAATAATTTAATAATGGCTGAACCTGAAAGCATTTATAGAAATTTTTAAAATTCTTCTCGGGGATGTAGTTATTATCATTAAAATGTATCATTAATAAAATCTCGTCAAAATTGGTTGATTGACATGGATGATGCAATAAGGTCATTTCGTGTTCTTGATTTCCTATACATTCTTCAGCTGGGTAGTTTTACAATTCTCATGTCTAAAACAATGCTGATGACAACACTTATTTCTTGGCGGCTTATTTCTTTTACTCTGCGCGCACTATGCTGTAGGTTTCTTCATTCATTGTACGAAAGAGTTTGTTCCAATATAAAGTCAATAAGTTCTGTGGTGAGATATAGACGGTAAAATTCAATCGGATTAGAAAAGCGTGAGAGGCCCAGATGTTTTGGATAAGCATTAGTATTTAGTGATAACTTTTGACTAAAATCTTAAAAATCAGAAGGCAAAGTCCATTTCTCAGTCTATTTTAGCCATTTTACTGCATTGTAAGTTTTTTGCTTTTTTGAAAATTGTAAAACAAATTCTTATTCTCATCTTTCTCATTCTCATCTTCTTTATTCTTGTCTTCCATATTCTCATCATCCTCCTCACTAGTTTCGATTTTAATATCAAGTTCATTGTCATCAGAAGATTCAAAGCCGGGTTCGTCTTCACTTACGTTAACTTCAGGTAAAGGTTGTATATTATCTTTTTTTTTTTTCAAACCATAAAACGTTCTACAAAATAGAAAATAATAATAGTATTTTTTTTGTATGCATAAATTCTATTGGAGTGGACAAATATGAATAAAGATTGTAAAAAAGCTTTTTTGATTTAAAA